TGTGTCCTACTGTACTGCTTCGCTAGGTGTGAACGTATTTGTAGACTGTGATCTAACGGTACGGTAAACCGTACTGTACTGCGAACAGACGTGTCCATATATTTGGGCGTAGCTATCTTGTTCTAAATGTCCATATATTTGAGCATAGCCCTTTATAGATCATCCTTTGAAAAATTCCAAAGATCTGTGCAGAATACAAAGAATTGAAAATATTTTATTGCAATGAAGAATTAGTGGATATACCGAGAAAAAGTCGCAGCAGCTATATAGGTAGCTTCAAAATGGATGGAATGATACATCGCGCGCACAATTGACTGTGTTTCGATTTTAGTGACTACGGTTTGATTTCTAAAGAAAATCTAACATAGTACCAGATTTAGTGATTTACAATGTCTAAAAATCAATTTTATTCTATCACGAGTTTGCTAAAACAAAACTTATGATGATACCTTCGTTTCAGGTTTTAGTTTCAATATTTTATAATGCCGCTTTTCAATCAAGCAATTTGGGTTGGGGATCCACCTCTTCACTAATTATTATTTTTATCATCTCGTCGCCGATATTATAATATACTAACTTGTTTTTCACACTGAACTCACAATTCAGTGCCAGAACAAAAATGTAATTATCGTTGTCCCCGTGGAACAATACATGCATATGCCGAGGAAAATTTGTGGTTTAGGAAAGAATAAACACCACGTAAAAAGATGTTTACGGTCAAAAATCACGCCACGCTGACGAAAACAATCGGCGATTTTAACAAAATGCAATCGCCCATGTTAGTAGCAATTTTTCAGTTCAATTATACCAAAAGAGAGAGGAGGTGGGGGTGGGTGGGGTTCGACCCCGAATTTATTAATATGTTCGTCTAGTGTAAAATTTACAGCCATAATATATATATATAATTTATAGCTGAAATTTAAATTGGTTTAGTGCTTTTATTAAAAAGATTTAGCTTTCAAATTGAGTAAAGTAATAATTGGTGAGTAACAATGTGTTTTTATTTCATTCACTTTTCAAAATTTATTTGTGGGGCTTCGTGAATGATAGTCAACCTCTTTAAGAGCTCCATAACACCAAAAGAATGAGACCAGTGTTCCCTCTAAGAAAATTTCACACTGCGCAAATGTTGTTTTACTGAGCAAGACTGAGCAGAATCCTATATTATTTGCAAACTTTGTGAAATGTTACAATAGTAGCCTAATATATTGCAACAGTACGACTTAACCGGAATACCGGTAGGTGCTCGCCACTAATATAGTCTGATAATACTGTAATAATTAGTTCAGAAGATCCAGTGTGCTGCAAAGACACACAAATAGGTTCGAAGTTCACGATGCAAACGAAGAGACTTCAATAAAATGGTGGAAAATCCACGCTTAAATCAGATAAAATAAGAGCGACAAAATACGGCTCTCATCCAGCGACAGCAAAAGCAAGAAGAATGACACTGCGAATCCGCAGCAACGGTTCACATATGCAGTGGTGGTTGGAGTAGAGTAACTGAAACCAACTGTATGGCGAATTAGGGCTCAGACTCCACACACCAATGCATATGCAATAACTAGACACTAAATATAAATAAAATACAAAACAATAAAAAATAGGACAATTCCAGTACCGCCACAATATATTATCGGAATGCAAAAAAAGCACACCTTCAACTCAAATAGCTTCCCCTTGTTTTTGTGCTTTCCCAGCGTTTTTACACTTTGTCCATATTTGTTGTGTTCATTGCTGAATCAAGCGACAATCCTCCAAAGTACAATACTTGTCTTATATTTATATCAATATTTTGCTCGTCATATGCTCCGCATGTGTCTATCACGAGTTTGCTAAAACAAAACTTATGATGATACCTTCGTTTCAGGTGAGGAATTCAACTCAACACGTGGTAGAACACTATCTATGTAGGGCTTCATTTCACTTGACGGGGTTTTCAAAATTTCACTCTTCAGCGGTTGGCATTGCGGTGAAAAAAAACCTCATGCTTCCACGCGTCGCTTCTGAGTTATTGCATCTAGTGCGTCAGCGTCAAAGTGCTTTTTATGATATAAATGGCGTAGTCAACTTCCAATTCCCACCAATGATTTTTTCTTTCCAAATCACTATCAGGTGCCACTTCCCGACAAACTTTGCGGATTATCACTTTCCTTGACGCGGAATAGCAATGAATTTTGCGAAGTTCAGCAGTTATGCATGCCCGTATCACGATTGCAAAATTAGTGTCAAACAACTGTTGTATTTAGCCATTCTTCTTTAAAATCAATTTTCTTCTTTTAGTCTTGCTTTCTTGAATGGACATTTTACTGACACGTCAGATAGAGAACACTAGTACGCGTATATTATTGGTTCGGTTAATAAACAACTCATAGTAACCTGCTGAATATTAAAACGCTCAAAACTCTTTTTAGCAATTTATGGTGAAACATACTTACAACATCGGTATCATTCAGTATAAGCTCATGGCCATGGGTGTACCAATCTCGAGGTTCAAGAGCAGAAACCCATCTGTTTGATTGCCCTACGGACAATAACAAGATTTTGCGGAGTCGACAACACGAAATCCAGAGCGCGCGATGAAAATTTCGAAAATCGGCCCGCGCTAGCATACAGCAGCAACAAGGTAGGCTACTTGTGTGTGAAATCACAATGACTAGTGGTCACCAAAATACGCGTGGAACATAAAACGAGCAGTTGAGCGTTAATAAAAATTACATATGAAAATATGAACCACGCTGAAAACGAAATGTTACCACTGCGCGAGAATGAGATTTTACTGCGCAAATGTTGTAGTGGTATTGCGCAGTTTAGAGGGAACCTTGAATGAGACCCCTGGCAACTGATCCAATACTCGCCATGAACTGATAACCAGACGAGAGGAATGGTACGTCATATAATTGAACCGTCTTCTTGAAGAATTAAATAAAGTTATTATTATTATATTATTGTGTCAGAAGAAAAGTTCACAAAGTTAATTGCACACTCACGGCGCATACTTGCGATGTTTGGCAGTAGGCCTAGTTATATATTATTTTTAAGCAATGAAAGTTACCAAATCACCCCTCCGCACACATCGAACATGTGCATACTGTCCCAAGACCAGCAAACCAACGCAAAATATGTTTATCATCAAACAGTGCCAAATTTCCAGCACAAGTACATGAATATGTTTTATGTCTCATATGGTGTGAGATTCAAGTGTAATTTCAACAAATACATTCAGATTTCTTTTGTTATTTTTGTGTATCAAATTTGTACCTAATTTATTGGTTTTTAGCCCGCGTCGTTATTAAAGTTCAAAAAGTGGCCCATGACATATTTCGAGTTGGAGACCCCTGCATTAGACTATGGCTTCTCCCCGTACTCGTGAGTGAAAACGAGTACTCAGAGCACTATGAGTGAATTATATTCTTGATCGAGTTTCGAACGCATTAAAGACACTACCATGCTGCTTATTCACTTTTCAGATTTCTGTAGTCATTAATTTGAGTATTTTAATTTTTTTTTAATGCATTTTAGCGAGTCGCGTGTGTGCGGGAAAATAGCGTATACTTTTCACGTGCTCTCATAACTGCTCTCTTTGGTCCATGCACTTTATAGAAGAAAAGTTTTCAAGCTAGTTGCAGGGAATGAGGTTATAAACTTTATTGTTTTGGCATGAACATAGTGACAACATTGCTGCCGGTAGCTTTAAATCGGTATACCGAAACTACTGCGATAGTTGACTTATTAGGTTAAGGCCTATTAAGTAAGGCCGCTTTTGTTATGGCTGAAAAGTCAGTATATGCTTTAGTTTTTCTAGATAAATTCGTGACTTGGCCGATCACCAAAAAAATAATGGGTCATTTGTATGCTTGCTTGTAGCTTGCTACGAGTTGCCTGAAAATATTAATTTATGATAACGTATGTGACGACCCTTGTTTTATCTGTTAAATGCTGTCATGTGATATTATTGCCTTATTTGGTATTTTAGCATTGGGGACACTGGACACTGTCGGTTCTGTTCTTTTGGGTGTGACTGTTAGCGTGTGCTGTGGTTGGTACCGGTACAGTGTAGTTGGTTTTCGGTTGGATTCTGGTCATGAGTGTCTGTGGGAGTGTCTCTGGTCTCCGTTGGGTTATCAGGGATGTTTGTTTGTGGTTTTGTGACTGCGGGATGGGGATTTGTTGGATGTTTTTATGCTAGACAGTAGGCTGATGTGACAGTCATGAAATAGCGGCCAGTCGAGAATGGATGAAAAAACGTTGCACAGCAGTGATTTCACCAAGCCATACAAAATAAAAAACCGAAACACTGTTGTAGTACTATTGAAAAATACTTACATTTACCTTTCATTTTGAGGTAACACTTCTTTTTATTTCTTGCCCGAATTATGCACCACCACTCATCGATGAGCACGAAAGAGAGACCTAGCACGACCCTGCGTAAAATTAGAAGGAGGCGCGCTACTCAGTGAACCCTATCAGGACTTTTCACTGACAAAAATGATTTGATTCTCATCAAAAATATCATGAAAATATTACGAAAAAAATATTTGGCTGGTATTCATAATACTAGCCATTTTGCGTTAAAATGGCGTATAACATTGAGGGCGCACAGTTCAGCAGTTACGTGCTCCTCGCATTTCAATCTCGGGAATGCCACCGCGCGAAAAGCGCAGATTGTCTAAGTACGTTTTTGCCATTCTCGGAACTTTGTCGTTCGCTACATTTTGCCTTTTGGAACAAAACTTCTTCAAATATTTTAGCCAGCGCTTGACAATACTGCAGCGTATTTTAGCAGACTCTTTCGTACATTTCTGTGTAGGTAGGAACCTAATTTTTTGTTCATATGTTTACCGGGTTTAATATATTTATCTGTAGAGTTCGATTATAGTTTTTGCCGACACCTAATAAACAAATAAGTCACAAGTGGTGGTAAATCTCCCGGGCATACGCCGGCAAAGGATATTACAGTATCACGAGCTCGAATTACTTCTGCACTTAACGAAAAATAAAGGCAGAAAGGTGAATTCTTGTAATATAAAATCTGAAAATAGATAAAAACTGCAATGCAGGCAATAGACTATGTCTGTATGTGTACATTATTAACATTTACTTTTATGTCTGCCTTGTTCTGTTATTAATATTGTATATTAAAAAATCAATCAACCTGTAGGCCTATGTGACAACTAATGACATATCCCATGGTCAAGGCAGTGCAAATCATGCAAGTTATACACATGTAATAATAACGGAATAGTTGTACTATTTTTTATTTCTTGGACGATTTTTAAATACTGATATATTATAATATCAGTTCTGTGCTTAACTTTTCTAAATGACTTTCAGGTTGTTGGTGTTGGGTATTAGTTAGAGGAATTCCTAACAACCATATTGTGATAGAAATTTGTCTGGCAGGATTTTTTTCGAGTGCAATTGACATTGATCACATTATTGAAGCAAGATCGATTTACCCAAAGGTGAGCCTTTCTATTTTCGAACTTGATAAGTTAACAATTTCTTGCTTATCTGAAATCGATTTTTTTTATTTTTAGGATTTGATCAATATTCATCATCGCTCACTTTTTCATACGTTAACTGCAGTACCTGTTGCCTCATTTGTAGTGTGGGTCTGTAGTAAATACATCTGGGGTCTGATCTTGAAATACAAAAGTTTGGAGCAACTGAAACCTCTTAAAGGGATTCTGATAGTGTCTCCTTGGATTATTGCGGTTGCGTGGACAAGTCATCAATTGAGGGACGCCCTCAGGAGAGGAATATCTCTACAGCCATTTGGTGTGACTGGACCAGTGCCACTGTGGTTGTATGTTGCTATTGTCACTATAGTACCAAATTTTATCAGGTTATTGGTATCATTTTTGCATGAACGAAAGCAGTTGACTTAATAAGTATGAAGGCGAAACAAAAAAGCAACACAAATTCTAATGGTGATGAAGAAAGTGTCCAAAAGACGAGTGATCCTTTGACAATTTATAGACACCCAAAAGTTACAAAGGAGAAGCCACGGGCACGCAGATTCAGGCCATGGGAAAAAGAAGATTTCCTTGAGTCATTTGAAAAAGTGTATGAAGGAAAATGGCTAAGTAAAGAATTGCCAAATATTGAACTTTGCAAGAAAATTCACGAGGATGTGCCAGCATTAACTGTTGATGAAATTCAAACATTTATCCATAGTAATATTATTAAGCTTAGACCAATACGAAAAAACACTGAGAAGCCAATTGATAGATGGCATGATGTTGTTGATGCTTTGAGCCCCAATAACAAAGAACTAGAAAAGCAACTTAGTCTTGTAATGATGGTTGCAAAAAAGGAACCATCAGACAACATTGAACCTCCTGCATCATTTGATCCAACAATGCCACAACCAAATTTCGGGAACATATACGAGTATTTTTCTTGCGCATTTTCTAACAAACCACTGCCTGTTTTATCCCCAATCGATAGCTTAGTAGTGGAAGATTGCATGCAGTCACTAACTTATCAAATTGAATGTCTTAACGATGAGGAATTGCGATTAAGTTTGCGAAAAATTTACTTACACATTGATCAGAAACTTGGCCATGAAGTTGAAAAAGATAATGAAGAAATTAAAAAGAATTTACTTCACAATGCAACTATTCTAAATCCACTTGGATTGAATGCACAAGCTATTGTGCCTGTCGTTCCAGAATGAAAACTGGCATTTGTGTTTGAAGTAGGAAGACTCTATGTAATTCATTTATTGCTCTGATATGATTTGTCATATTTATCTTCGTGATGAGAAACATGGTCTGGTAATATAGTAAACCATGGACATTTGCAAGGTTAACAAGTTACCGGTTGATTGTTCAATATGCACAGACTTTGGTGGACGAGGCAGTCAAGAGTATTCTTAACCAGGTTAGTCCTGTGATATTCAACAATGAGATTGGAAGCAAATTTCTAATGCTTTGTGTGATGGTGCAATCTGTTGCCTACTTCGATTACTAATCCATATCTCTTCTGTGATAATTTTCATATGTAAGTCTTTATTTTGAGAATTTTGTGGTGTTGAATTACATCTAATATCTATAATTCTATCTTGCAATTGATATCATATAGGACTCGAGAAAATTTAGCATAAATCACACATTCGCGTGAAAAGAAACATGTATTATTTGAGTTCCCAAAGTACCGATCTCTGAATTTCGTTCAAAATCTCTCATGTGTCGTTTGTAAATAAAGCAAATATACAAGTAACAGAGCTGACAACCACTATGACTGCGAAATATAATATATCGAGTCGTTACCAGAAAATTCCTTCAATACGATAAAGCTACACTTAACAACTATAGAATCTGGGAAGCGGCAAGTCTGATTTCAGGCATCAGTGAGATACAGTAAAATTCGCATGCAGAAATACCAGCGATGGTCTATACATGGGGCACTGGTCAAAGGTTCTGCATTGGGATACCATTAATTAATGCAAGAGTGTTTCTTACATCAAGTCCATGCTTCCGAAAACAAGTAACTAACTAATCCCATACCCGACATGGAATGGTAACCGGACTAGAGGCCGTAGTTCGCTATATGGTTATGCTGTCTTATCAGCTTTCCTCTTTCTTGTGTCTACAAGGTGAACTCTCAACTGTTCAGGACCAAATGTCCAGAATTTATTTCGTTCCGTGGCTTGCAGCAATTGACGGCATAAGATTGCATCTATGTTAAGTGTTCCCAATTAACATATGAACCAATAAAAATGAGAAACAAAACATGGTAAAAGTATGAAACAAATTTTCTAACACAGTGTAAATTTTCAATACAAATTCATTCTGGTCGTTGATACCAAGCCTGTCCAATGCCAATATTACTATGAAATGAATAGCAGGAGGCTGTCTGTTTGCTGGTAGAAGTTTCAAAAGTAAAATGCAAAATAATATAGGCACAAAGAGACTAGGAAACCACCTGGTGAATCCGCCAATAAGAAATACACTCAATTCAAAATCTAAAGGGCTTGCTGTGGAAGATGTGTTAGGTTGGGTGCTGGTTTGATTTGTATTTTCTTCTATGGGATCGACTTCATTTTTTGGCATTGAATTATCAAGTTCTGACATATGGTTTTGTAAAGTATTTTCTGAAGTTGACAGTTCTTTCTCACTTTTAAAACTAAATGCAAATTCAGTTTTATTCTCCTGTGCTGGCTCAGAGTTTGGGCCAAGTAATTTTCTCATTCGCTCTTCTGATTTTAGTAAAATTTTTCTTCTTCGTATTTCCGCTCTTGTGCGCTGCACACTATCACCCATTTTCGATTCTTTAGATTTCAACAATAGTCTGAAATTATCGGGTTAAGCTTATTGTAGTGGAGATTTCTTTCAGTGTCCGTCTTCCTCTGGTCAGAAGTAGTGCTATCGAGTCCTCGTTCGTCTCTAATTTATTTAGTTTGAACTCTTCTCTTGCCCAGTGTGCCATATACTGTCGATCTTCAAGATCTTCTATTTTGTAAATAACTCGAACAATGTCACGATAAAGATTCAAGACCTTCTGTCTATGGATAAACTGTTTCAAAGTAGGCGCGTGTCCAGGAATCTTGGATGCCATTCAAACGCGATTACCAAACTAAACAAAAGTGCAACCACAGACCACTGCAGATCAAGTCGCGTTGAGGCTGGATTTGAATGGGATTTTCCGTGATGGAGAAAAGGGCATTATGCATTTGTTTGATAGTAGTTTTGATTCGATTATTGACTGAAGTGGATTTCATTTTTTTTATTAGATTTGATAATGTTTTTGTTCATTGAAACGATGTACGTTAATTATTCTTTTCTTCATTATGCGGCGCCAGAGAGCCGATAGATAGCCATTTTTCACCGCAAACCCTTCCAATCGCCATTTGTTTGTCTTTTATTATTTCGAATTCAAGAGCGAATCCTGGTACCGAAAGCCGGTACCGGTACCAGTACTTTGGTGCCGTGAGTTATGGTATTTATGATATTTACCTAAAGATGTTGTGCTGTTTAGACAAAATCTTAATTAAGCTTAGATAAGTCAGTAAGTATGGTACCGAAACCATACCGGTAATAATTTTAAGGTTTATTTTAATCACTACCGGACTGTCATGTCTGCATGTTGGTTTATGTCAATACCGGTACCGGTACGTTATGTCCGCATGTTGTTATTGTTGTGATTCTAACTTAGAACTTATTGTGACGAATGATTGCCCACTGATTTTTCCTGAACTTGTCTCATACTGTACACTGATACTGATTTTCTTTTAGCAGCTTTATTCAGTTCTTGATTCATGCCAATACTGCAATAAAAATATTGTAGTAGGCTATTACAGTATTATTACTGTATAATAATTAACAATATTTCAAATATTTTTCTTTTGTTCTAGTTGATTTTCTAAAAAATGATTTCCTAAAAATACAATGACAAAAGCAAAAGAAAGCATGGAGAACAAGGAGCCGACGGCTAAAATTGAGTCGTCTGGTACTCACACAAGAAAGTGCATGGTGTACTTGCTTAATGGACAAGAATTTCAATGCAATGTACAGGTTAATAAAATTCAGAATCTATCTATTTTTTAAATTTTGCCAAAGATTCTTTTATTGATTGACTTTTATTTGATAATTTGTTAAAGTAAAATAAATATTTCTATTTATTACAGAGAAATGCAAATGGATCACAACTTCTTCAGCAGATTCGTGAATTATTGGATATAATTGAATTTGATTATTTTGGATTATATTTTGAAGATTCAGCGCATCATAAATACTGGCTCGAATCCGAAAAATCAATTAAAAAACAATTGAAAAGTGAGATGCAATTCTTATCATTGATTTTGTCTCTGAATTCAAGTCTTGAATTGGAATGATGTTTCGTTTTAATAACTCGATTATAACTCGATAACTCATCGTATTCTTGGTCATTTTTTATTGATATTCTAAATAGGGGTCTCGTGTAGTTTCATACCACAATATCTTCTAGTTGGCATGACTCAATAATTTTTCATATGTCATTCCTAACCCCCACCTGACTATGATATCCAAAAACTACCTCACTACGACGCAACAGTGATGTAATAAAGCCTACCAAAATATACAGAGGCTCGCTCCAAAACATGCAGACGATTAACCAAAGTTTTCTCTTGTTTTCTCGTCGTAACGACATCGATATGATAGGGATCGCTTGCATCAGCGAGTTCTTTATTGTTATCGCAGATGCCCGATCATGGCCGTATGTTGGCAACCTGTATGACGCGATTGTAATGTCGTAGTGATGTATTGTTTGGATGGTGTAGTCAGTTGGGAATTAGGAATAACATATACAAAAATGATTATGCCAAGTCCACTTGTGGTACTAAACTACACTAATTTTCACTTAATCTGAAAACAAGCCTGACTGCTTGGTTTGAATGGAAATCATCAAATATAGGCTACTCAATACTCTATAAGTCATAATTATTTTCTGATGTTACAGATAGCCCATGGAAGTTTAATTTGTCTGTCAAATTCTATCCGTCTGACCCTTCACAGCTGGCGGAAGATGTATCAAGATATTACATGGTGCTTCAATTGAGAGATAATATTGTTTCTGGAAGGTAGGTCTTCATAAATTTGAATAGTCTTCTTCATTTGCGGTGGCTTATCTACATAAAATAGTGCACGTGGCAAAGGATGAAAAAGCGCCCTCTTGATCGTTGACTGACAATTTTTGACATTGCTGTTGAAGTAAGAAGCTCGTACCTTATTATTTAAGTAAAAATACAAGTTTAAATTATTTTCAATTTTGAAATAATTTTGTTGCAACATTTTACAATGAAAACTTTTCACTCTTTTTGCGGCCCAATCCGAACGGCATCCATGGCTGTCATACCCTAGATTCGTCACTGTTTATTTGCTTTCGCAAACGCTCTAAAGACTGAAATACAAGATTAGTATTGGGGTAAAATGGGAACATATATCATAACATCTTACTATATTTTTTTTTTCATGGATTGATTTGCCTTTGTCATTTTGGTCACCATAGCCTCAGGTCCCATGATAATCAATAATTATATTCATTGATTACAGAAATATAGAATTATTGTTGAGTTGCTTTTATTTCATTTTTTCCCCCCTTGTTATTATTAAATCATAAATACAAGACTGGAATGATTCAGATTCCGATTATAATACCAGCGGATTTGAATGTCCGACGATTTTAACTTGTAATGCCACATTTTATTCTATGCCTATATATTTTGCTGCAGATATATTTAGGATTCTATTCGAACAGAAGTGTGTAAATCATTTTAGTATTGTTGTGTTAAAATGTAGCAATGTCATTTACATGGCATAAATAATGGTATGCCTCGGATCATAAATGAGATCATTCAAAGTTCAAAGATATAGCCATGCAAGGATGCTCTGAATGAATCTAATATTGGTTCAAAGTTATTTATATTTTATAGGCTTATTATGAGTTCTTGGCTTGGCATTTTGAGCTGATGATTTCAACAGTATGGACAGTATATTTCTGAAACTTATAAGAACATAAATCAATCAAATCACTATTTATCTTACTTTTCTCGCATTTATAGATTCAAATTCATTGAATATATATTAATTAGTAACTTTTCATTTAGAATAGTTGATTAACTCTGTTTTGTCCATCTCGTAATGCCGCGCTTATGTCTTTTATTTAAAGGCTGAATACTCTTTGATAATGTTATTCATATAATTAATTAGTAACTTATCATTCAGAATAGTTGATTACTCTGTTTTGTCCATCTCATAATGCCGCGCTTATGTCTTGGATTTAAGGCTGAATACTCTTTGATAATGTTTTTCATATAGTGCAAACCAATTTTGGAATAATACATACTAGAAAATCCATAAGAGTCATATCTTTATAACAGTATAAATTTATTTATGAATAAGTATCACAGATTATTGTGTATAAATATAATATACTCACACAAACTAAAAAAATGATTTTTTTTTTATATAAAACCGACCATTATAAGTAAAAACTCTTTAGTTCAAACATAGGTAATTCAGTAATATTCACAGACGTCTACTAACAGTATATATTATGCAATTTCAATATTACTCTAGTAGAGCACATTGATTAAATATTGTCACTGTGTTTGTGGGAAAGTAAATTTAATTTGTTTTCATTCCTGATAGCCAAGCATCCTCACAGTATACTTATCTGGTACAATTTAGATAGCTTTTTAATTTCAATAATAAATTTGAACATATTTTAGAATACTGTTTTGGCACTGGCAATATTATTAAGTCATAATATAATAATTAAATTAGATATACTGTTATATTTGGTAAATATTTGGTCCTTTTAATTAACAATGGATTGTAATTTGTGATATAAAAAGTTGGTGCAAAGGCCTCAGATTTGAAGAAGGCTGATCTTAGAGTGGAATTACAGGTGACAACTGAAGTGCCTGCTGCCTGCCATGAGTTACTGAAATCATATAAAATTATGGCTGACCACTTTATGGCTTGAATCCACCATTTAATAAGGATAGCAATTTTTGCTTTGCCTCATCTTTAATAAATAGCGCTGCTTTTATAACAAGAGTTACTGTCTGAAACCATATGAAAATATGGTATGTCTGACCATTTTTTGACTTGTTGAATAATTTAGGGATAGCAGTTTTTGCTTTGCCTATATTTGAATAGCACTGTTTTTATAGCCTTCGAACTAATGGCACCAATGCAACCAATAAACAGTTGTGCCAGTTAATTGAATGATTTATTCCTTGGTAAGTGATTTAGTAAACTATGTCAAGTACTGAATTGTCAGACATACCTAAGAGAATGATGAATGAATGATAACTTATTCTATTAGTGAACAGCCAGAGTTTTCAGATTTACCATTCTGATTGCATTCGAAGACGCTTGATTTTCTATTTTTCATAGCATCAGAAATTGGAATGACAGCATTTTCTCCAGATGTGAAATGTCTAAAATGACAAATTTTCACATGAAAAATATATTCTCAATAGGCCTGCTTAATTAAATTTTAAATACACTTGATTTGAATGTTCAGTTTGTTCAGCATCCCTATTAAAAACTAACTAGTATATTTCTTATTTTGCATGTAGGTTACCGTGCTCATTTGTCACTCATGCTCTCCTCGGATCATTTGTTGTGCAATCTGAGCTTGGAGATTATGATGAGTCAGTTATGAAAGGAAACTATGTTTCTGGATTTCAATTTGCTCCAAATCAAACCAATGCATTGGAGGACAAAGTCATTGAACTTCACAAGACTCATAAGTTAGTTTTTTTATTGCTTTGAAGTCAATTTTGATGTAATTATGTGATTACTCTATCTTCTTTCTTAGTCGTTTTATCTATGTAAATATTTTAATGGTTCAATATTAGCATGGATTCTATGGTCCTGTCAGAATATCATATCGAAAATTTTTTTAACTTCTATCTAAATTCCTAGTGAAGATTCGATATGACTACAGCGCCCCGTGAACGAACTGAAATGACGTGCCATCAATCCCCACCCTTTCCTCCCAGCCTAACTGAAAGTGAGCTCGACTCCGGTCAGTTGACTTCTGATTCGATTATCAATAAAAACATGTCCCACTAAAATAACCGTAACTTTTCCCTTTGTCTTCAGGGGTTTGACTCCAGAAGCGGCAGAATTAGCTTTCCTAGAAAATGTGAAGAAACTTCCACTCTATGGCGTGGATTTGCATGCAGTCAAGGTCAGTCAGCACTTGTCGAATTAGGTTTTTTCAGTATTAATTTGCAATTCATATAAAAGTGTTTAATGTATCGAAAAGGTTTTTGCATTGTTTTGTGATAAATAGTACGGTATGTTTTTTGTCATATCATACTGGAATCATGATAGAACCAATTACCGTATTTATTCAATTATAACGCGCACTCGTGTATAACGCGCACCTTTAAATTTTGAATGAAAATTGGTATAAAATTCTTTTTTTTATTTTCTATTTCCATGAGTTTCCGCATAATCAACAACCTCCAGTTTGAATGCAGCCCTATATGCAGAACGTTTTTGTCTTGCCATAATAGATAATGGGTAATATATAATGGGTATCTACAGTACAGTACGATAATGGCAAATAAATATTCTCAACGCAGCGGGAATGTCAAACGCATGCTGAGCTGTCGCATGTGCGTGTGCTTGCACGAAATCGAACGCTTGCACGAATGTCAAACGCACGCTGAGCTGTCGCATGTGCGTGTGCTTGCACGAAATCGTCCTGCATTGGAATGTGCATGCGCGAGCGCACGCACGTTTCAGATGTTTAAAACCACATTTTCAATACCGCATTTCTCAGACCTCGTGTATAACGCGCAGCATTGATTTTTGCCTAAAATTCAGTTCAAAATTTTGCGCGTTGTAATCGAATAAATACGGTATATTGATCATGTTCTTTGTGTCTGTTTATTTTTTTATGTTTTGAATGAATTATTACTAATTTCCCACCAAATAAGTTTTCTTCACTTTCTATTGGTTTTCTGTGAAAGACAGTGTTCATTTTTTTCTTAATAATGTCCATTTACAAATTTTATACTTAGGATTCTGAAGATGTTGATCTTATGCTCGGAGTAAGCTGGAGTGGATTAAGAGTATACAGGGACCAAGTACAAATCAGTCGCTTTGCATGGCCAAGAATCCTAAAAATATCATATGTTAGGACCAAATACTACGTCAGAATGAGACCAGTTGATGTAAGTTTATTATTGGTATAAATAGAGCAGTTGAGTCGGAGAAAATTTCACCAGACTGGGCTTCCGAATTTCCATTTTAAAAACGATCTTTGATTTCATCTCTTGACCATCATTTCCCCTTCTTTAATTACGGTATCTGTCAAGGATGCCCATTCAACCCGATGCTCATTCATTTTTATCAGAAATTTCGACACCCATTACAACTCTAGATAATTGGAAAATATGATTTCGGATCAGACTCTAATAGCAATGAAAACATAAAATTAACTTATCAGACATGGTCAAATGTGTATTTTACTCATAACTATATCCCATGCCTGATGAGTTATTTTCTTGCAAGTCAATTCAGTAATTTTCATTTCACAGGACCAAGCCGCAGAAAGCGTAATTGGATTCAAGCTGCCCAATCACAGGGCTGCAAAAAAGTTGTGGAAATCGAGTGTTGAGCATCATACATTTTTCAGGTAATTTATTGCTTGTTAGCCGCTTGTACTTTCATACTGCACATAGGAAAAGGTACAAGACAAGTACATGTAAGTTGAGGTAATGTCTAACGGGCAAAGGCTAGTAGCAACCAGCAAGTTCAAATTTTGTCTGCCAACCATTTCAGGACCCGTTGAACAATATTTTTTTTTAATCCAAAAAACAGTTATTGATATACTATGTGTGAGTGGTTCCTGTGTGGACATTACGATTAGCTATTCTGTTTAACCAATACATGTAAAGTTTACGTGTCCCAAAAATATCTCTTATCCTCCGATTGTCTATGGACTCCTGGCTGGGAACTATTCGCTTTGCTAGTTCTTAATATTAGTGGTGTACCTATTTGATTGATTTCATGTAAAAAAAAATCTAGTTGTTTCTGAGTGTTTCATATTTCTTTGATATGTAGCAATCAATTTTGTCATCTTTTGCTTGGCGAATAATTCTTGATATTTTAAAAATGTATAGCATTACCATTAATTCTCATGTAAATTTATTTAGGAATCCAATTTCAACAAACTTTTATGTATATAGTCAAATTTCATACAGTACTTAGAATTTTTTAGAAATAATCAGAAAATAGAACCGAATCTACAATTTTTTTTATTTAAAGTGTTTTAGTACTACTTGCCAGTTGTTCATTGAATGATATTTATCTGACACTCGTTTCATTATTTTTTTATTGCAGAATGACCAGACCTGAAATACCAAAAAGTAAACTAATTCGAACTGGATCGACCTTTAGATATCACGGTCAAACTCAACACCAAACCAGAAAAATTGTTGCGACAACGACTCGTAAAAACGTTCCAAAAATACAAAGAACAGCAAGCAGACGATCGTATGTGGGAAGTGGTATGTTTATTGTCTCTGTTTTTTCGAAAAAATTTAACATTGTAACAAATTATATAGCTAGTAATCACTAAAAATATAAAAAATTGTGTGAATACGATCAGTTATTAGATCTTGGTTCCCCACTTGAAAAAACAAGCAACCCAAGACAATTTTCAGGTGACCTATAGTTTGGGAAACACTGAATTAGATTATAGGCAGTAGCTGAATTGTTTCATTTTGTTTAAAAAATATGACGAAATATAACCATATTTTCATCTTGTCACTTTGACAAAGATTTATTCAGATTAAGTTTGTTCATGGTTGGATTGGATTAAAATTTCGTTCATTTTAACCCCTGTTATCAAAGAACTCAGTTCCTGAATGCCAGCTATCTAATTCTGTCTGGATTATGTCACTTTGTGTTGTTTTCGCCAACACTTTTATTTACCAAAGTTCGCATTTAAATTTTAATATTACCCCATTTGGTTCGAATATCCTTGTTCATCCTAATTATAAATTCAAACTTGGTTGGAGATAAAGAAATACCAATTTAATAAAGAGATGATGCATGCTTGTTCTCTTAGTTTTCATGTTCTTACGAGTGTTACGACATATATCATGATACCGTTACCTAATATACCAATTAGCTTTGCTCAATTTAGTGGGTGAGGCATTATACCATAAAATTACGTAAATATACCGGTAACCTATTATGGCAATTACCAGTAATGGTTGGTCAGCTCTCAATGAAAATAATTCAGTCTCTTGTCTGTTTATTCTATGGTACGTGATTTTTAACAATTGTTATGAATTATGTTAAGTTTGCCAATGTATTGTGTATAGTAAATCCATGTGCCGAAATCAAATTTTTTGTCTAGATTTTCCGGTTTATTATTGTTGCTAACGCTTGCATCTTAGTGTTCTAAATTTACCAGCTCGAATTGTCTGAAAAACTGATTATTATTTTTTATGACATCAGTGTTGCTTAGGTATTAGTGTTAAACTATTTACCCTTGAGATTTTTCAATGAAGAAAATATCATTTCTTAGCAGGAACAGTTCGAAAGCAATATTATTTTAAGTAATTACTTGATAAATTTTATTTTCATCATTTCCAAAATGACCGATTATTAAACACTTCCTAAACTTTTAACCTGTGCTTTCAAATCAATCTAAATCCATGGTTTCCAAACTGCGGCCTGCGGGCCAATTATGGCCCACGTAACGATTGAATATGGCCCGTCAAAAATCATCACAGTTAAGCATGAATATATTTGCAACAATTCAATTGTACCGGTATCAAATTATCAATAAATGTACTGGTGCCGGTATCGGCCCCTTGCGGGCGCTCCCTCTCCTGGCCCGTCAATATCCTTCCGCTTCTAATTTTGACTCTGTCAATCAACTTTGTAAACCACTGATCTAAACTATAATTATCAATACATATTTCTTATTTTATGCAGACAAATCAAGACAGAATAAAACGTCAACAAGTGATGGTGCTTCACCACCTGAGGTAGGTTGGCGACTTCATGAATGTTCAAAATAATTCGAATACATTCAAAATTCATTACATTATATTTGATATAGGAATTTAGGAAGAATTTAGAAGATTTTTATTTTAAATTAAGAATTTTGAGCCGTCAGATTCGGAATAATAAAGTATTCGGTTTTGGCCATTCCTGGTTAAAGTTATTTATCCAATATTAGAATTAGCAATTGCTTGTTGCATTGTTTAAATTATGGTTTTATTAATGCGATTTTCATCATTTTTGCTGAGAATATTCAGATTTTAATAATTAGATTTCTTTCTAAAACGTCTTTCCTGCCATGTTGACTCGAACAACTTAGAATTTCATATTAGTTCATAATGCACCACTATATATCAATATAGTGGGTATTGGTATTTATGTAACTTTGCTCAGAGATGAATCTCGTTTGGTTTACTTCTCAGTGAGTGCAATGAATTTACTTCAAAAAAAAAATTTCTGTTTTTAGCTACCAAAAAAAGAACACACAACCACAACTACAACCGAAGTTGTAACTGTTACTGAGGAAATTATTACAGAAAAAGCAAAGGTGATTTTACTGATCTTTTTTATTCTCATTATACACTAATTTTAGTATACTTACCGGTAATAAACAACTAGTAGAAATTTTTATTGTGATTGTTTTCAATCTATTTCAACAAACGTATTGTTTATGGGCATTTTCTCCCTAGATTACTTTTGTGATATTGACATGTACATTCACACTTTTGCACCTATAATCTATCTTTTACTCTTGCTGATGGCATGTATATGTCAGTGTCACAGTGACACTGACATATAGATACCTCCGAAATTTCAGATATAAAACTGCTAGCATTTAGTTTGTTTCAGATTAAAAAATGTTAACGACTGCATTGTTATATAAACAGCAAGATCCAAGATAACTCGAATATTCAAATTGATTCAAAGTTATTTCCATTCAATATTTTAACTTCGTTTTTTTAATCAATTTGTAATATCTTTTATTATTTGTACATAGGAACCCCCAAAACCAAAAACAGAAGTTATAGAAGAAGTAACAACCACAGAAGAAACTGTTGAAATTCAGGTATCAAAAAAATTGTTGCAAAAATTTGAAAAAAGTGCTTTCAATATCTATTTACTCCTCCTTGGCACTTTTATTCAATCATTTAGATGTGGCCAGGCATAAGGGATTCATGTTTCATTCTACAAAGTATATTTTATTTCATTCAACAGATACTACTTCAACCTAATGGTACACAATTTTGTCATGAAGTCAGTTTTCAATATATCTTAACCATTTATTTCAATTGATGTTTATTTATTAAGTCTTTTTTTGCTTCATTTCCTACACCTTTATGGGCCAACAAACTATACATGGCATCAATAAGCTCCATTAGCAATTTGAAAACTGCAAAAGACCTTATGAACACCCTGTAGCCATATCTTAACCTAGCTTATGGTAATACGGTATGTAATTAACGATTTGGGAAAATTTGACCTTTGATCTTCTGATCACTATCCAAGGTTGTAAAGTCGCAGAGATCGGAAGCCTCCAAGTCTCGTACTTCTTCGTCTTCATCTTTGTCGAGTAGCGATGACGGGACAGACAGACTCACAAGGCATCAAAGAAAAGTCCACAAAATGAAACGTATGTGTCAAACAGTTAAATCTACAATTTTTTTTACTGTGATGAGATTTGTTTGAATTTTTGAAACAAGTGTGATTGCGCGTGTGTGATGTGCGCCTTCGTGCATGTGAAAAAATTCATTTCCCATTTGGTTTTGAGCTTGTGTGTGCGTGTGCTATCACAGCTTGTGTTCACTATTCACATTCACGTATGAATAGTCTTGTGTGATGAAAAAATAGAGCCACGTAGAAAAAGGTCATCCTATTTGAGGATATATCGCAATTAGTTAACTGCCAAGCATGGATGACAACAATCAAATATTTGGCTCAATTTTTTTTCGGCCTGTACTCAAATATGAGATTCTGTCTCATAAATACTAGAAGATGAAATTGAAGAAAATATATATATAATACGTCACAATTTTAAAGTCATTTTGAACTGTTATACATTGGCCATTACTTTAATGCCATCCCAAAAGAGGCAGACACGATAAAATTTAGCATCTGGTACACCGTATTTTGCACCTTGCTGTATTTTGATTTCAAAATTTTAGCATAAACACTTTCGGCCAGAGCACGTCAATTATGCATGTTTTATTACCGGTAATACCAATAAGTAAAAGAAACTAAACGCTTATAAAAAAGGATAATAATAAATTGGTACTAAACTGGGAATTACACTTTTAATAAATTGAATTGTTAATTAATTAATAGATATGATATTTAACACATAACTCAACTGACAGCAACCTTCATGAATAGGGAATATATATTCATTTTATGATTATTAAAATGGTACTACATTACTTATAAAGTAATGATGAAAATATGAAAAACGTTTCGTAATAGAGGTTTATGATAGATTTTGTCATCTATTTGGCTTTCAATATCTGGGAAGTTTTCTCTTCTTAAGACACTCTTTAGGTACCATATTGTGCTTTTTTTATTGAAGATTTTACACCCTTTAGTAGTAGTTAAATTTCAGAAATATTGCCACATATGTATGCCTGATTGGAATTGTAGAGCCTCTATCTCTCTTTCACTTGTAGAAGATTTAAAATTATGGATATTTTTTAAATTCAAAATATCCTTTTTTGATCTTGTTCGAAAATTTATTAAACAAATGGCTTTTAGATAGCCATTTTTGATTGAATGAAAATATTTGCGGGGTATTTTTTCAAATCCAAAATATCCTTTTGATTTTATTATGCAACAGAGGATGATGAACTGGTTGAAACGACCACCGAGAAGGGTAAGTCTATTCCCAGCGGAAGGTCGAACCAACTTCGTAAATGACGCTTGCTTGCTTGCTGTGTGTTTAAAAACTGTAATTTTACACTTGCTTGTTGCATGTCGCATTCCTGCTTAATTGTGTTAGGCTACTAAATTTTTTTATTATGTCATAGGGATAGAATTTTTAAAGGTGATATATTTGGCCTGTTCTAAACTAAAGCAGCATTAGTAGCAGTGAATAGGATCATATTTATGTTTTGATTAAAATGATGGTAGTATGCTGTAGCTATCATGCTATAGCTTTCCCATTTTTCTATGCTTTGATGTCTGTATTATGCAAGGATGCTGTAGCAAGAATAAAGGTGTATATTGTATTTATTGAGAAGTCTTGGTGCACACTAACACAAATGTACTTCTGTAAATATCACGCAAATACATTTGTGTAGAATTTCAGTTTTGTGTGATCAACGATCACATAGCTGTATTCCTGATCATATAAGCTTATACTGATTCAAGTTTTACAACAATCGCATTATTTACTAGTCTCTTAATGTGGCACCATAATTTTTTATGGTTTCAGACTTTCAGTAGATGTGCGCAGGTATTTCAAGTGGTTAGTAATTTGGTTTAGTCTCTATCACTCTATGACTCCCTTATTTGAGCAAATTGTCCTAATAAATGCAAAATACATTATGACTATAATTTAATAGTCATTAAAATTTTTAGAATTTTTCGGTAAATCGTGATTAAAATTAAATATTAAAAATTTAGATCCTGTCAAGTCTTGATTCTCTGACCCATTCATGTATCATGCTCCCATATACTGGTGTCTTAATTATTGGAAGAAAAAGCATCCTTGTGACCGTCTGTATAATTTTTCGTTGTCCCTGCTTTCTAGTGCTTCAATGCATAACCAAGAATTCTTTGCTTCATTAAATATTTCGCTTGCAGCATTACTGGGAAATTTGCTCATAACAAATTGGCGAGATTTTCGTACACAGAGCAGGTTATCAGATTTCATATCATCGGGTCTGGAAATTCTTTATTTCATAATAGTCTCTGTTAAGAGGATTCCTGGACCCTTTCCTGTCGTAGGGGGGATGACAGATCGTGGTTCACCATATGATTCAGCCTTCTTGTAGGCCTTCCTCTCCTCCAAGATAAATATGAAAATTTTAAAATTAAAATGAAATGATTCAAAATTAAGGTGAAATTTATGTAACAAACATAATGTTATCTTATGCAGAAATTATCTCGGAGACTACAAGTTACTGTGGTTTATTTTCAGAATCGCAACAATTCCGTAAATGGTTTGAAAAGCCAACTTATTCAGTTTTACCACACATCGAGTTGCATTTTTTAAACCTAAATTTGTTGGTGAATACTTATTAATACTTTGAATTTACAAACTGAGTCAAAAGGTGTTAAGAAATAGATCAGATATTATTACACAATCTTAATGCTTGCCTTGCATGTTGCACAATCTTTAGTGCATGTATGTTTGACTCCAGGCTTATTGCGAGATTTGCAATATATTCAACATTTATATATCCTAGTCGGGCTTGATATATAGATAATCCATGACTAAAAACCACACTTCATCTTTGGCCTAAACATGGGTATAAATGATGTTTTGAATAAGGTTTCACTGTGGAGCAGATTTGATAAGTAGGTTATCAGTATGAGGATAAAATTATGAATAGCCAACTATTCATATAGAAATAGTTTGGTTTTTTAGGATTGTATCTGATAATTATTTTCAATTTTGGATACTGTAAGTGCTTTATTACTATCATGTCTATGCATCTGAAACAAATAGCTGGCTGAATACCTGACCCGACATGGAGTGGTAACCGGATTAGAGGCTGTGGTTCGCCATATGATTAAGCCGCCTTATTGACTTTCCTCTCAATAAATCACATCGAATTTTGACATTCAAAAGCAGTGAACTTTTATATTTGCTCTGCTCAAAATGCTCACGACTTTGAATCTACAAACCTTGCTAGACTAAACGAAATCACAGACTGTAGATCTCACCAACATTTGGTAGCTGTCTATTTTTGCTGTGAGTGAAACAATGCTTGACTAACAATTTGTACTTGTACCTTGTAGTTTATTTTCAAATTCCTCTGATTTTGTGCTAATGAGTAATCTTTTAATCTTCATATTTTGTCTTTTTAAAAACTATTATTTTGATTTTTCCTGAAAGCTTAAAAATGCTTTATTCAATTCATTTTGTGGTGTAAATCATGTTTAAAAACTGTACAATACTCTGGTTTATGTAGGAGTAGGTGCATGTGTATTCTATTCAGGGATAGGCCATTATTAAGGTATCATACTACCATATTGCATCGTATTATCTGGCAAATTGTCAATAAACTGCTCAGATTTGGTTTTTATTCATACAAATGACGCAGCTGTTTTTAAAGCATTACCGGTACTGGTTTTAAGTGTAGGCAATAAAACAAAGCACTACACCTGGATTTTGAAAAAAAAAAAGATTTAATTAAAGTGTGTCTTATGGTCCGGTGAAATACAGTTAATGTATTATGATGAGCTAGTCCTCTTGCTAATTACATGTATTGATGGATTGAAAATTTTGTACCAATTGTGTTCGTAATTTCAAATATTGAGCAGTATAGACATTTCTCCTTGCTGTTTCATTCAATTTGACAAAAACAATTTTTACCCAGTAATGTTTACACAACAAAGCCTATTTGGGGTCAACACACTTCCATTCTTTTGTCTTTTAATATCAAATTGGAATTTTATTGCTTTCCCTGTCTGCCCTGTATTTTATTACAAATCAATTCAATGGTAAATAACATTGGTCACTCTCTGTTACCTAATATATCATCGTTAAGGACTGACAGGGTCAGATTGCTATTTTATTCTCTGAAATTGTTCAAGGCTTGTCATTGCGGTGGAACAAAATTATAGCTTAATGATATCACATTTTAAGGTTTCAAAAATCATAATTTTTTGATTGTTTGATTCTACAAAGCTCTACCTAAACTCAAACCTAGAACTCGCACAGTTTTGAAATTCAGACCAAAAGTCCCCCTGGTTCTTGATGATAAAAGATCATAAAGTCCATTGTGAAAAATAAAATATAGCTATTTTACTTTTACTGTGGCAAGATGATGCATATCTTCTTCTATTGCCAGCTTGCTTTGTGCCAAAATATTTTGATTTTACCCAATACACAATCAATGCAGTTTGTTATAGAAATCTGAAAATTAACTTGTAATGTTTTTCACTGAATGCATTAATTTAAATATATTATAGATATGGTTCAGTACCATGAACGTTCTGTAATAAATTAATAAATCATATTTCAGGTAAATTTTTGCAAGAACCACCCCCTGGTAGTAATGGCTCTTCAGAATGGGATGTGAGGTTGCAAGCCTCGCCAACTAAATATACGGTAATTTTTGGATGGTTATATTTGAGAGATGTGCAATCTAATGTAGTAATCTTCAGTTTAGCTTTAACCTTCCCGTTATTACGGTGATAAAAACAGTCAAAACACTCTACAAAAAGCTTTGAGTTTTTACTAGGCATTTTAAAAGTCTACTAAAGAAGTTTTGTTTTTAGTCATAACTAAGAGTCAGTTTTTTACAGCATGGAATCGGGGTCAAAAATATTTTTTTTTTAACTGAGAGCCTAAATTTTTAAAACCCAGTGTCGGAGTTGTATTTTCTATATCCTGCGGCCCCCGATCGAAATCATAATTTTTCCATTATGAGTGTTCAATTTGACTTGTCTATCTTTATTATCATCAAGGATGCCAGTACTGAATCAACACCAAATGATGAAGAAAAAATTGAAGATGAGATCGAAACACAGGACCGCCATCATGTTACTACCACAGTTGTTACTACTATCACTACAGAAGTTGTTCAAGATAGTTCTACTAAAGATGAAAAAGAAGAATCGTCATCTTCTAGTAGCGAGGAGGAACAGGAGGAGAAAGAAGTTTCTGAAGAGAAGGTTTCAGTTATTATTTGACACAAAATGTATATACGAATGTTTTTTCTAAATTCATGTTGGAGAAAAGTTAGATGAATTTCAAAGTTTCAGCTCTTAAAGATGATTGAAGGCTGAATTCTTGATAAGTATATTGCTGTTGTTGTTGTTGTTGAAAAAAAATCACTTTTTCTTTAACCAATGGATCAGCAATTTTGAAATTTCTGTTTTTGGGAGATTGAAGTTGCTTGCTAGAAGGCTGTTCTCCCTGAGTCGTATGAGACCCGAATATTTTGCTCCCTGTTCAGTATTCCAAATTGAATCCCTTTTTTCATATTTTGCAATGTTTGCTCATCTCTGTCATGCTTGATTGCCGGTCTTTTCAGCAAAATAAGTGCTCTTCAATCTTAATGACGAGTACAAATCGTTTTTCATTTAGATAACTCTAATCAATTCAAGCTTTTCATAAGTGTGACGCATCCCAACTTGGGTCGAGTTAAAGACTCAACTCTAACACTGAACCAGCACCCGCATTGCGAAGAGTATTAAAATCACTCTGTTAGCAATCACCACTTGACTTGAATTTAAATTAATATTCTAAATAAATAACTTATCTTACCAGAAGCCTTTGCCAGATTTTGTGCCTGTTGTTGAGCCCGTTACTGCCGATAGCTCAAGCTCAAGTTCATCGGAATCTGATGAAGAGAAGGAAGAAGAACCAGAGGATTTTGATTATAAACAAGAAACTGAAAAGCTTGTAGATCACGAAACAGAGCATAATTTCTCTGCAACAACCACAGTAGTTCACACTGAATATCATGTATGATTTTTATACAATTTTGATTGAGTGATATTGTGATTGTATGTTGGAAAAAAGAGTAAGCACTAAGCAGCATGTTTGTGTCGTATTCTGCAAAACAAAGAATTGCAAACTCATAGACATTCATGAATTTTTCCATCGTTCTTTACTAAATGATCATGTCAGTTTTTTTTAGATTTTTTTACAGTTATTGACATTCTGGCATGAGTTTGTGCCAATAATTTATAATTTATACTATTGTTTGTTATTGGGCAGGTCACAGAAACTGTCATCAAAAATCCTCATGTTGAAGAGGATGCTCCTACTCATGCTCAAGAAGAGGAGGAAGATAAAGTAGAACCTCGAAAGGAGGAGACAGTCTTAGAAGAACCTATTGAGAAAGATTCATCTTCTTCTTCGAGTTCAGAGTCAACTTCAAGTTCTGAGAGTGATAGTGATGATATAACTCCAGAGGTGAGTGTGCAATGTACTCAGATACTATGAGGAAAACACCCTACTGTTATGCTTTACTACTTAGCAGCATCAATTAGCTTTTAACTATCTACTCTAGTTGAGTGAGTTTTACTTTGAGTGATTGCTTCTCTGAACTCAGTCAAACTGATTTTGTTTATGAAAATATCGCGTTTAAGGTTAAAGAGCAAGATGAAAAATCGGAAGAGGAAGAAGGAGTGAGTAATGAAAACAACAACAACAATACGGAAGAAGTTAATCGTTCAGAAGCAATTGTCGTATCTCAGAACGTAATCACGACAGTGGAAACAAAGTCTGTTCGTGTTGAGGTAGATTTCTTAATTTTTACATTTTGCTGTCCAGAGGTGAAAGGCGAAAAGGTCCAGTCCAGGGTTCTCTAGGGGCAACTAGATGGTATTACGGATGAGTTGATTACCTGTGAATAATTCAATCCTTTGTCTGGAACGGATTTATAATTTTACTTTTGTTTTTGGCTCTTTTATTATTAAACATGGATACAAAATACCTAATTGAAATGCAGTATAATATGGCAATATTTACAACCATGCTTGGAAATCTGATATATGATGTTTGGAGATTAACAAGGACGTTGATGCACAACATCCATCATGTTCAATAATAAGGTCTCGCATCCTTGTTTATTTTCATTCTGAATAGGATGTTGTGATACCACGAGAAGATAACGAAGTTCATAGAGTTGCTCTCACTGCCGATGGAGAAAACAATGTGACAGTGACAGAAACTCCTCGATCGAGCTCAAGTTCGTCATCTTCTTCGTCATCGTCATCATCAAAAAGTAGTTCTAGTTCGAGTGACTCCGAACCTGAGCCAGAACCAGAAGAGGATACGCAGACTTCAATTACAAATGGATTCAAGGTTAGTCAGAGAAAATGTAGTTACTTGAAGTTGAGGTGATTTGAGAGTTTTTTTAAAACTGTTTAAACGTTTTCTGTATGTTTAGTCTGAATAGGATATCACATTTTCAAATGTTATGCTTTGGTTGCGAACATTTCTCATGATAATATATATTATTGATTACCTTTTAACTTCAATTACTTCTTTGTCCTTCAGCCACCAATTGTTAAGACGGAAGCAGTCTATGTGGAACCGACTGAAGAAGAAAAACCAGAAGTTACGACTATGGTAATTGATGTAATTCTTATTTATCAGCAACTAAATGAACATGAAAATATAGTTATCCAGGTTCAGGAAGAATCAGGCGATGGAGTCTTGAGTGTGGCTGGAGTCGGAACAGAGGTCGCATTTTCAAACTGTCGTGAGTTGGAGTGGAAAATGTAAATTTGCCTGAGTAGGAATTTCAGACTTTTAATGCTAGTAAAGGAGGAGGTAAAATTTTTTATGAAAACTTAAAAAGTGCAAAAAGCACAGAGTTTAGTAAGCAATATTAACAGTCTAAATATTGAAGATCAAAGCGTGATTTTCTTGGAATCTGTGGAGCTGGAGGGAGATTTTTACAATTTCGAATCAAGCATAAATTGTGACATCACAGTCCTAATAAGCATATTAACCAGCGGCCGTTTGTTGAATATATTTTATTTCAGCCACCTGTAGTTCACACTGAAACAAAGACAATCACTTATGAATCAAACTTTCATCAACCGGATGTCATAGAAACTGGAAATGATGTTCAACTTCTCAGTAGCCAAACTATAACTTCAGAGACGTTGTCATCGGTAACCACAACACATATCACCAAGGTAATGAAAACAGTTGTTTTGTTTAACATGCAGTACCAAACATCTTGAAAATTCAAAGTGTATATATAGTTCTTGGTATAGGCATGACAGGTAAATAACAGACTCCATACTTGAAGAAATCGGTATTATAAAGATTGAAGTTTAAAGATATTTCGAACAGCATTTTTAAAATAAGATTTGAAAATGTTTTATAGAGTGTTTTTATTCAAATTTTGTACAAATATTCAAATTCTAGGTTGTCAAATCATTTTTCTAAGTGTTGGTGACATATTTCCCATTCATCCACTTCTAAAACTTTTTCATCGTGTTTTGTGAGCTGACGAATCGCTGTATTGTAGTTCACATAACTGCTCAAGGCTCACAGTTTTCTGTTACAACTTTCTGCATACATCTTTAACATTATTCTGTCTGCCGTTTGTGAGACTGCTTTATACTATATACTTAAGAATTTTAAGTTACCTCAACTATGCTATAGTTGAGTCGAGTAAAAACTAGCGATTCTCAAGTATTCAAAAATGGTGTTTATTTTACCAAAAACATTTTACAGACTGTTGTCGGAAGCGTGAGTGAAACCAGAGTAGAAAAGAGTATTGTACTCACTGCCGATGGAGATGCTGATTTGCATGAGGTATGTACTCGTCAACATACTCAGAGTACAGTGCATTTATTTATTGCCTTTCTCTGTTCTGTTCATTGACTCATCAAATACATATAATATACCATATTCTAATTTTGAATTATTCATTCTAACTTCGTTGGAGCACCATTTTGATAATTGATCCATGTGATTAAGTCTTTTTTTTCTTGAAGGCCGTGGCGAGAGCTATGAAAGACACACAAGAAAGTGACCCTAATGTGAGCATTACCAAGGTCGTAGTTCACGAGGAGAAGGTCGTCGAGAACTCTTAAAGGAATTGGAAGGTGCTGCAGCTGGAAATTGGTGCATCATAGCTTAGAAATCAAGCATGGCCAAGTTAAATCGATTTCATATTTGAAGAATTTATGCATTATTTGCACGCCTGTCCCTTTTGGGTCAAATATCATACCAAATATGCCACTACGTGGGGTTTATTATTCACCCCACTCACTCTTTCATTGTGTTTTTTAGCATTTTTTGGTGAAATCGAATTTGCGTAAATTTTTGACCAAGCAGTTTTTTTCGGTTTTTATTAGAAATCATATTTTTGTGTAGAATAGCTTTTAATGATCTGATTTAAATTTTTTTTCTTAATTTTTGCTAACGCAGACAGTACAATTGACAATTTCATAATAATTTGCTTTTTTGAGAGTAAAGTCCAATTAGGTATTTTGTCCAAAAAACATTACTTATATACTGTCGAAATTTTGTTGAAATAGAGCAAATTTTGGCAAAATAGCCATTGCGTTTTTAGGAAAAAATTATTTCATCATTCTTAAATATAAATTTATTCCTTTTTCTGAACTAGATGTCTTTTCTCAGAAATATGATACACTTTTTTGCATGGAACAATTTCCAAAGTTATTTTTTTTAAATTTCTGTGATGTTTTAGGGCTTGATTTACAAAAAAAAGTTGTAGGTTTTTATATTGGATTATAAAACCATTAACCCACTATGAATCAAATTTTTCAAGTTAAAAAAAAATGTTTTGGGGCTTTCAGCATCACTTTTTGGTTGTGTAGGCAAAGTCGTTTTTTTCCAAATCTGATAGTTTTTTTCATTATGCTTAATCACAATCTGAACATCCCTAACGATGGGATTTATACTTAATTTAAAATTGATATTGCATAATTAATTAGGATTGTTCGCTTATTACAACAAGCCTACTGCTTATTTGTATCTTGCGCTTGCTTTTGCATTAAAATCAAGATAATTACAACAATGCTTAAGTGATATTTCCACTTGTTGTGACCCAAGAAACGAGTTGTTCTGGCATAGGCGTAGCCAGGGGGGGAGGCAGAGGGGCCATGCCCCCCCCAAATTTTTTTCGAGAATTCCATTCTTAATTAATCCACCAGTTTTGTGGCAATCTTGTCTCGTCACGCTTGCTGATTGTCATTGTTACGTCACAAAGACTTGGCCGTTCGCTGTTATGAGCAGATTGGGAAAGACTGTTTCGTTAGCTTTCGGTCAGTTACTCGGCCTTGATTTGTTCTCGCCGGTTTTATATTCGAAACACTTGGATTTTGATGATCAAATTACTTCGATGGCTAAATTTAAACAGGCAAAATGCGATAGTTTTTTTCAGCGAAATAAAGAGTCGCTTTTCTCAAAAACATCAATAAGCGCTACTCAGTCTGTGGATGCACCGGTTACGTCAGTTACGTCTATCACTTCTATTCCCGAAGATAAACTAATATTCAAAGAAATGAAAACAAATGATCTTGGATTTATTCCTAAGAAACATATCGATGCGGAGAGAGATACAGGCTTCTAACTTCGAATGGTCCGAAAAACGTGACGATTCTGGATACCGTTAGACAAAGTCGTCGTAAATTTCTCAAAAAATGGCTTGACGATGACAGATTTTGCAGTTGGTTAGTTTGCACCCAACTCTCGATGGGGGTGGATCTTGTATTCACAAAAAGCCAGCTGAGTTGTTGGATCAGTTCGCTTATTGATAAACTGTTGTTGTTTTGCGCTTGAAGAAGGGGTGTCTTAGACCCAATATAATTTCTACTAAAATTCCCCCCCCCCCCTTCAAATTTTGGGCTGGCTACGCCACTGTGTTCTGGTAACAGGTGTGGGGTATGAGGGGTCCAATATCGGATCTGAATTCCGGACTCTTGAATCCACTCGTTTTTGGACACGCCGACCGTGATGCAATTCAGATTAAAGTGCCGAAGAGGGATCGAGCCATCATACATGACGGAATTATTTTTACGTCACAACTTCGGTTCGAATAAGAACGTGCGAGCGAATTACGGGATACCCGTACTGAAGGAAGTTTAATCTCGGCAGTGACTGGATTTGATAGAAAGTGCATTGCAGTAATTGTTCTATAAATGGCAGAGATCTACCATTTTCGAAATAGAGCCAAGATGGGGTCTATTTCGGGTGATCGTGGGTATACTTTGGCAAGCTCTATGACGTGTTGTGACCTTCCGTAAATACGTTTAATGTTTTCATTATAACAATGGAAGAACCTCTGTCTCAGTCTGCTTTTCCCTGTTCTGATCTTGTAGTCTGGCCCGCTGTTGAAAAGTTGACGGTAGGGCCCGTAATTTTGGATGACACAGTCCAGTGGGGATTGACACGTGCAAAAATCGTTATGCTACGCCCAAGAAATCTAGTGTAGTTTTGTACCTCAGTACTTCTAGTGGGCGAAGCATGACAATTATTGCATGTGTCAATACTGACCCCCATCAAACTGCGTTATCCAGAAATTACTGTCCCTACCTTCGGATTTTTGAAACTGGGCCAGCCTACGAGATTAGAACAGAGAAATGCAAAATATGATGAAGATATTAAAACGTTTTTACGGAATATTCGCTTATGAAAGTAAAATTTGCTCCCGTATACAACAATGAATAAGCGATTTTATGTTTTATCATAATGAGAACATTAATTTCGAATTAGAAAGTGTTTTTCCAATCGCCTGGATAGCCACATTGGCTTAGTTAGGGTAATATATATATATATACCTGTTTTTCGTGACGATTTTCATGGCACAACAGATCGGAAAATAGGCAAAAAATCTGGTTTAGTTTTTCGTCCCATGATACTTTGTTTCACTAATAAATCATATCTGATATAAAGCGATTTTGATCAAATCTATCATGAAAACCGGGACGAATTTTATGCAATATATAAATAATAATTGATGAACGTGGCGATGATCTTCATTCTAATCCTGATTAAGATCTGATAAAACAAAATATCAGAAAATGATTTTCAATATGCAGTCGCGAAGAATTTAACATAACTTGTAGTCTCTCTACATACGCGGATGTAAAATGTTTAAACTATTTTCTACACAACTTCCTGTTTAATCCATCAATATATAACTGGCTCACATAATTGGCAAGGTAATGAATCATTTGATATTTGAGTGAAGTTGAATAGCATATAGAAGCGACAAATTAATTTTAAATGTACTATTATACAATTTTAAAATTCGACAACAAAATTTGCGTCATATATTGTCCGAATCATGTGGCCAGAAAACATCAAAAATAGTTTCCCCAAAATAGTTATCTGAGTCAATGATTCACAATCTAAAAGCAAACGTTTATAAACGTCAAACTTTATATGATTCATATATGACTCGCATTTTTTATTGCAAATTCTGGATAGCTTCTGAATTGTTGTTATTCAATCGAAATTAATTTAAACCTATTCTTAAAATGTAGACGAAAAACGCTTAGAATAATAATGTTCATGCTTTGTCAATGCTCTACCCTCCGAAATTGACCTAAATTATTGTATATTTTCTCAAAAATTCAATTTGTAAACTATATTCTTCTTTAAATTCATTCTACTGACAATTTGAATCATTTTATGAAACTAATTAGACTAAAAATTCCGATAATTTAGTATACATGACCATTGTGAAACAAAACGGATTATATTTTTCAGAATTCCAGAAATTTCAAAACTTCAGATCAAATTTCAAAATATCTAAGCCAGTTATTTTGACCGTTCATTCAACCGTTTCGTATCCACTAGCGCTCGAAGTCAAGTCCAGTATTTTTTTAAACCACTAAAAAAAATATCACAACCACAAATTACAAGAAAATGATAATTTACACAATTTTACTGGGGAAGGGAAGTCGTGGGGAACCAAAGCTGGTTATTAAGCAGGGACACTCAAATGCATATATCTGGATGCTTGGGGCAGCTGTGGTGCATTGGACAGCTGAAATAAATTCTCAGGATGAAAACGTTGTTCACAATATCTCAATCTTAGAGAGGTATAAAGTGAGACTATGAAAACAGAGAAGCCGAGGTAAACATTTCGCGCTGGCGCCAGATGATATAAAAGGCTAAAAATAGTTTTTTTTTCTGTTTTCATCAAGACATCAATTGTTTTATAATTGATTCATAAAACCCATGAATAACCATCTAATTTGTATAGCAAGTATACAATGGTTCTAGGAAAATTCGCAGTAGGAATCTCGCCGCTCGAAATTTTGCCTTTTAATTTAAAAAAGATTCGTTATTCTAAGAGCATGCCCTAATACTATTACTCAAACTGTTTTTATCACAGATACTGGTTTTACAGCAAAATGTTTTTGCGGCCATTTTTCATCCAGCGAATTGTTCTATGCGGAGAAATTTTCTGCAGGACAAATTTCCTGCGGCGAGGTTATCTACGGCGAAATTTCCTGTGGCAAATTTTCCGGACAGGGTATACAATATTCCAAATTATAAAATTAGTCAAACAAAAACTATTTTTGTTATAGAATATATATTTTTCTATAGAATAGCTTATTTATATATAGTATATATATTGAAAAATTGCACTTTGCCATACAAATATGAAAAAATATTTATAAACTTTGAAGGTGTAAAATTATGAAAATAATATAAAAAAACTATGAATTTTGCATTACATAAGAAGGAGAAATATACAAATAGTATCTAAGTATAAAATTTGAATAAAATTGCTGCTTTTTTAATTAATATGTTAATTTATGTAATATGTACTTCCAGTTTGCTACAAAACATTGCAATATGGACAAGTTGTACAAATTGAAACTAACGCCGCGTTATTCGAATTTTGAAGTTGTAAATAAGTTCCTAGGTCAACACGTGTTGCTGTACTAACTCTTCTATTAGCTTCATCAAATAATTTTAATACGTTTCCACCTCGCATTGTATCTCTTTGATAAATAAATAACATTTTATCCAATGGAGTGCTATTTATGTCAGAATTTGCTATAGATTGGCTGAGAATAAGATTTCCGTTATCTTCCGTTAAGAATTTATAGTTTGTGCCGTCATATTTTGCAAAAACGTAATGAAAACTAGCATCTTCTGTTTGTACATATTCAAAGCAATTCCATTCAAAGCCAACCGGCTCCTTTTGAGATAAAATTGGCAAAGAAGAATAAATGTCATGAACACCAAGAAACATGTCATCGCTAAATCTTACATTGCAATTCCGTATGTTGTATTCTGATAAAGAAATGGAAGCCATCGATCGTTTTTTTCGATGAATTACTGCTGAATTACCTATTCCGCATAATGGATGTGTTTTCGTCTTTTGGTGGGGAAAACTGGATACAAGTAGAAAACCGCATATTAACAATCCAACAATTTGCATAAAGTTCTTCATTGTATGATATTTGAATTTTCAGGTTTCTCTCGTTGGTATGTGCGTCGCAAGTTCTTGTAATGATTTTCATAGTGTCCATCGGCTTTTTGTATGTTTTGGAAGCAACAGGTAATTTTTGAATTGCTAAATTTACATACATTGGTTTCCCTCATGACAGGAAGCTCAAAATATAGTTCCTGACTATCAGCTAAGTGTGAGTCATATTCATTTTTAGTTTATTTTTGCCAACTTTCGGTGTTTCTATCTATTTATCACTTTGCTAATTTAAGCGGTAAAAGGTAAAAAATCTAATAAAAAAATATTTCACACATATACCTTTTTTCTGATAATTATGTTTTGGTAGAAAGGGAAACAAGAAAACGTAATTATAATACTAATAGCATTTTCGATTGATGCGCGTTCCAAATAAAAAGTAACCTCGAAATATTTTTAAGAAAGTATCAAGTATATATGTGATAAAGAGATATTAGGGCTCAAAATATATTGAATTAATTTACACAATTTTGATTCTTATATAAGCAGAATGTAATTTTTAGTATATTCAGTGAAGGAAATTCAACATATCCATATTATTATAAGGGCGATTAAAATAATCTCCAACAAATATTTTTTCAAAT